AAATGCTGAATGACGTCTGCCCGCCGGCTTTTGGGCCCACCGCGCGATCTAGTCAAACTCAACTTTACTGAGCGCCGCGGTTCCCATTCAACAACAAATCTTGCCCAGCTTCCCCTGTCCAGCTCTCGCACACGTTTTGCCCACTGCCATTTCGATTTTCGCTGTGTAACTCTGTCCACCAGATCGAACTGCACGTTCTCCATTGCCGTCGCGGCTGCGCGCGTTGCCCGTTTTATCCCATCCACCCAAACTTCTAACTCTCCATCTGCAGCGCGGCGCCTCCGGCGCCCAAGGATCAGACGCAGCATGCGTCGCTGACACGTTTGCAACTTCCGTTTCATAGTTGCTGTCATCGTCCAGGTCGCTGCGCCGTACAAAACTGCGGGCTTGAAGGCCCCATCAAACAGCTTTAAGCAATCCCTCAAAGAATACATGTTGTGGGTGCTTTCTTACTTGGACACCAAAAATCTCCGCCAACCAATTGCAATCCTGTTGTCACGCTGCGTGTCGTCAGGCTCGTCGAAGGTCAGCTTGCGCCCGAAGTACTTGACGCAGCCAGAGAAAGGGAGGACCTCGATATTCATGTTATCCACATACATGAACGTCCTGGATCGCATACCTGTCCCTTATGTCAAACATAAGAACTATGTGTTCTCTGGATGAAGTCCCAAACCCCTCTCTCCAGCAGCCGCAACGAAGTCGCCGAGCAAATTCCGCAAATGTGCAAATGACGACGCAGCAAGTCATACATCATCGGCAAAACGTAAAATGGATTGCAAAGAGCACTCGGCATGGCCGAGAAGAAATCCAAACCTCTTTCGCGACCACTTCCATTTCACCTCCCGGAACACGTCTTCCAAAATGGCGTTCAAAAGCAATGAACTCAGAGGATCACCTCGTTTGATTCCCCTCGTCGTAGAGAGAAGGGTTTGCTCGCCCTGTCTGTGCGTACACAACCACTTTGGTCTGAATATAAGTACGATAACAAGTTCACATAAGCGATCAGTAGACCCTGCCTTTGAACCGCCGCCCATATCCACTTGCGCTCCACACTGTCGAAAGCCTTTTTATATATATATATATAAGAAAGAAGAAGAAGAAAAAAAAAAAAAAAAAAAAAAAAAAAAAAAAAAAAAAAAAAAAAAAAAAAAAAAAAAAAAAAAAAAAAAAAAAAAAAAAAAAAAAAAAAAAAAAAAAAAAAAAAAACGCCGCAAACCAAGCCAGGAGGTTCCATTATCTTGCCTTGCCTTGTATTTGAGCTGCTGTCCACAATGGTCCACCGTACTGCAATCGCGTCGAAAGCCAGCTTGGTCTGGCGCCTGCTCCTCGTCTAAGATTTTTTCCAATCGCTGGGTAAGGAACAGGGCGAACAACCTATAAATAATGTTATAACTGTTGTTGGCCTGTAATTTAATGGCAACTTCGGGACACCGGCTTTGAATACCACTGTCACAATAGACTCTTTCCACTTTGCTGGGGCCTTCCTCGGATATTCCAAAATACTATTGTACACAACCAGCAGCACGCTATCCCAAGATTTCCCACCTGCCTTCATCATTTCTGCAATTATTCCAGCCGCGTCATTGCATTTGCCACACGGGAATTGTCGCACTGCCTCCCAGAACTCGTCCTCTGTGAAGGGCTGAACTCCCGCGACGTTCAATGCAGCCTCGCCTCCCGAAGCGTGTCGGGACGCGTACAAATACGAATAAAAATCAGAAAACACATTCGCTATGTATTGTCTGTCTGTTTGCCCCATCCCTGCTGAGTCTACCATTGATGCGATCAAGTTCCGCTTTCCTCTTTGTTTGATGTTTGGCATTATTCCCAAGCCTTCCCCTGAACGAAATGCTTCTGATACCCGCGCTTGGCATTCCCATCGGTGCAGCTTGCGGATCTCCCCCCGGATGTTTTTGCTGAGCTGCGCACGTGCACAAGAACCACCTCGATAGTTGTTTCTTTGATGTAGTAGCGATTGTAAGATTGTGCTCGCAGGTTTCCTGTCTTGTCGCTTGGATCGTTCTGGACATGATGCCTTCGAGGATGTATTAAACATTCCGGTCCACCAGCATGAAAATAAAGTTCTTCCTGAAGCGTATCTAAGTACACGGTTGCATCAACAGAATCCCAATTGATGTAATTATTATGTTGTTTTGTTTCGTGATTCTTCTTGTTTCGCTTGCCCGTGCCTGTCTTCAATACCACGCGAACAGTCCGATGGTCAGAACCAAGATCGACGACCGAATGCGACGTCTGCATTCATGATGTTTCTCCACGCCTTCGAGTCGACAAGTATGTAATCGATCTGCCGGGTCCAGGCCCCACATGTGCGTAACGATGCTCCGGCCGCTTCGGGAAGTACGTGTTCGCAATCACCATTCGTCCAGTTGATGCCCAAGTCTTTAGCCAATTGCCTCTGAGATTCGAGAGGCCCAGACCATGTCGACCAACGATCCTGGTGTCATCGCTCTCCGCGCAGCTGCCCACTTGGGCGTTAAAATCAGCACCAATGTAAACATGCTAATATTATCCCGCGCCTCTGATTTCAGCTCTGTAAAAGTGTATAACTCTTGTACGTACGCGTCTCCATACCCTGAATGTGGAAATATGCAGTATCAATCCTCGCTCTCAGCCCCCCTCCCACAATATCAACAGATGCAGCTCATTCCGAAATCGCAGCGAAATCGCGCACACGACCCACTGAACGCTTGTGACGAAGAATAGAAACTCCACGTCTACCAACCATGCCACCAAAAGCTGCGAAAAGGTGCCCTGCTGGAGTAGTGAAGTATTATTTGCGCTCACGTCTCGTTCAGGAGAAGGATATCCCCACTCCACCGAAGATAGTTAAGAAAACAACTCATCAAGACGGTCGTCGTTTCCCAGACCTCGCACGTTTTTTCAAAATGATTGTCATTTTCGTTGCATCCTGAATTCGCTCACTCTTTGCCTCTAAATGTGTGGGCTGCCCAATAGGACGGTGAATTGCGGCACAAGGAAGATCACCAGATACGTTGGTATACGCCCCCCTCCCACCACCCATGCCGGCGCTCACCTGAAGACCTGCACACGGTATAATAATAGTATTAACTGAACACAGACCTCACTAGTACTAGTAGTAGTAGTAATAATAATAGTGGTAGTTGCAGTGGCAGTGGCAGTGGTAGTGGAAGTGGTAGAAGTAGTAGTAGTAGTAGTAGTAGCAGTAGTGATAGTATTAAACATAGTGGTAGTATAAGTAATGGAAATAAGAAGAGTCGTAGTAGTAGTAATAGAAGCAACAGGACCAGTAGTAGTAGCAGTAGTCGTCGTCGTAGTAGCAGTATTAGTAGTGGTCTTAGTAGTAGCGGTCTTAGTAGTAGTAGTAGTAGTAAAAGTAGTAAAAGTAGTAGTAGTAGTAGCAGTAGTAGTAGTAGTAGTAGTGATAGTGCTAGTAGTAGTAATAGTAGTAGTAATAGTAGTAGTAGTAGTAGTAGTAGTAACAGAAGTAGCAGTAGTGGCCGGAATAGTACTCGCACAAGTAGTAGTAGTACTAGTAGTTGTTGTTGTTGTTGTAGTAGTAGTGGCAGTAGTAGTAGTAGTCGTAATAGTAGTAGTAGTAGTGGTACTAGTACTAGTACTAGCACTAGTAGTAGTAGTGGTAGTAGTAGTAGTAGTAATAGTAGTAGTAGTAGTAGTAATAGTAGTAGTAGGAAGAGTAATAGTAATAGTAGTAGTAGTAGTAGTAGTAGTAGTAGTAGTGGTAGTAGTAATTGTTGTAGTAGTCGTAGTAGTAGTGAGAGTGGTAGTAGTAGTCGTAAGTATAAGAGTAGTAGTAGTAGTAGTAGTAGTAGTAGTAGTAGTAGTAGTAGTAGTAGTAGTAGTAGTAGTAGCAGTAGTAGTAGCAGCAGCAGCAGGAGTAGTAGTAGTAGTAGTAGTAATGGTAGTAGTAGTAGTAGTAGTAGTAGTAGTAGTAGTAGTAGTAGCGGGATAGAGAAAGGGGAAGAAGCGATGAGCCGCGGCAGCGTCCCTGAAATCTAGATTAAAGGGTTTGGCTGGGGTGTGGTCAATCGAACCTAGACTGAAGTGAGAAGTATCTGCGGATTCGCGCATGAAAATACAATTCACTTAGATCTGGATTTGACTCAAGGCTAAACCTGAAATTCAGCGATGTCGGCATATATGTACATATATATATACACACACGTCATTACCGTCGGAGATTTGTGCATAGCGTGTCTCTGCGACGGCCCCAGCGACATGCCGTGCCTGCGAGCGGACAGCGTGTCGCTCCGCTCCGCGGAGCGGCTCGGGAAAGCTCGGAACGTTGACGCCGGGGGATCCGGAAAGCGGATCACGTGTCGCGACGAAGCGTGGTGGGCCAGGACGGGCGGAGGGACACGCTAAGCCAGAGTTCCTGACCGTGTGCACATGGATTATGAGGCAACTACTGGGAGATCTTCGTCGGAAGGGTTAAGGAGGATGAAGCTCCATTGGGGGGCTGTTACGCCAGAGTGGGCCTTGGATTAAGCGGGATCAAGCCGGATTAAGCGGGATCAAGCCGAATGAGGCCAGGCTTCGGACCAGGGCAAAATCAGAGTTTGACCTCCCAGGAGTTGCATCCGAACATGGACGCCCGAGTCATATGGGGCCTCCGATGCGCGAACAAGAACTTACTCCCGACCACCCCCCGACCTGATGACTCGTGGCTATGTTCATTATCCATCGGTCGGAAGAAGCGGGTAGAAACATAACGTAGGAAGGCGTTGAAAATAAACTGGGCTTCCGCCCACCCCCTGAGAAGGAAGGAAGGAGGAAAAAGACTCGATGATTGACGTAGGAAGGCGTCTAAATCAGATTGGGATCTGGGACTCCAGGAATACCTACTTTGAACGCCCGATTGGTTTTTGTTCCCCCGATCCTTGTTCCCACCCCTTGTCGAGTTGCTCGAGTGCCCGTGTGTCGGTGTCGGGCAACCCGACTGCTTCGACTGGTTGCGCGACGGCTTGCGCCCAGGAGCTCTATGAGGGGGCCGCTGATCGGGCGCGCCAAAGAGGGAGGGACATGGAGGAGAAGAGAAACGGGACCATGACCACGAATGAACGCGGATACGTCCTGCCGATCTTGGTCCCCGTCCATCTTGGTCCGCGTCAATTGGTGGGGCGCCCTCGCGAATCGGCGACGTCCCGCATGGACCATGACCAGGATCGGGGTCCGCAAGATCCCGCGACATCTTGGTCATGGTCAGTGTGCGTCTCTTCCCCCGAGGCCAAGAATGGAGGGGCGTCAGCGTGTCATGGCTCGGGGCGCGTGCGCGGATGAGTGCGTCTCTTCCCCCGAGGCCAAGAATGGAGGGGCGTCAGCGTGTCATTGGCTCGGGGCGCGTGCGCGGACGAGTGTGTCCTCGCGGCTGCCCCCACCCACACGAGTGTCGCCGTCGATCCACGATGGGCGGATCCAGCTTCTCACCGCTGCGTGAGCTGGCTTGGTATGCGCGCTTGCTCGACCTATTCTGCGCCGCACCACCGCGCGCGTGGCCGCGACGCAAAAAAGAGTGCGCGGACAGCGCGGGGGGGGGAGGGGACCACCAAGTCTGGGAGGCGCCTTGGCCCCAGCCATGGCATCGACACCCCCGCGGTCTTCGCCCCCCCTCTTGCACGCCCCCGAGAGGAGGGAGGTCGGCGGACTCGTCCCCTTGGGGCTGGGCTGGCTGCTCCGTGGGCCTCACGGACTGCGTCCCCGTGGAGAGCGGCCTCACGGAAGGCGTCCCGGTGGACGGCGGCCTCGCGGCCTGCGCACCCGCGGAGAGCTGCCGCTCGGAAGGGCAGTCCTCGAGCGGCACGGCCTGGGCGCCGTCCAGCGCCACCGGGCGCGCACTCTCGGGAGAAGAACGGCCCGCGCAGGGGTGCAAGCTGCCATGGGCCGATCCGCCGTTTGGAGCGGAGGCGCGCTCCCTGCCAGAGTCCAGGTCCAACTCCGAGACGAGAGGCCAGCGCCGATCGAGGGGCGCGAAGTGTTTGAGGCCCTCCTGGGAAGACGCCAGCCTTGCGCCCGCACCGATCCCCAATCAGGCCCACGCTGGGCTCAGGATCGGTGCACACGCCCGGCTGGATTGGGCCATGAACGCACGTGCACCAACCCTGGGCGCAGGATGGGCTGGGCCAGGGGTCGGTGCAAGTGCACGTGGTTGGCGGCGCCCTCCTTGCGGCAGGCTCCAGGCAGGGAGGCCATGACGACGTCCAAGACCTCCACGTCCTTGCAGGAACCGCAAGCAACCACAACCACATCGAAGACACCCCCTGGGGGATGGCCTGCGCATGCCAGTAATCGTCAGAACACCGAGATCTGTTTAGTGCTGGTTGTGGTCGATGTGGCATCCCAGAACGGCCAACCACAACCAAAGCGTTCATGTCGAGGTCGGTGTGTTCTTCCCCGAGGGGCCCTCCCCCCCAAAAACTAGCCTGACGAAGAACCCAACCATACGCAGCTGCGAGTACCGCGAGGGAGATGAGACGAAGGAAGGGGGGGCGCAAACTCCGAGTAGCTCTCATAGGCAGAGCGCCGCAGGACGAGGCGCGGGGCAATGCAGGCAGGGGCGAGGGGGGGAGCGGAGCGGGATGGTAGGCTCTCAGATGTCTCCACCCCCGTGTTCTCGCGCCTTGGTGACCGCGGCTCTGGGCAGAGCGCAACGCCGAGTCCCCGCGACGCGCGCCCGTTGCCCCGCAGGGGTCGCCTCGACCTCCAACGTCGTCCGTGTTTTTCTTCTCCACCCTGCCATCCACCCGAAACATGTGAGGGGGGTGCCGAAATGGGCGGGGACGCGTGCGGAGGGCGCCGCTGGGGCCGTCGCTGCAGCTCCCCATGGGGACAGGAAACGTGCGAGGGGTGTGCCGAAGTGGGCGGCGCGGACGCATGTGGACGCAGCCACTGAGGCCTTCGGTGGAGTTCCTTATGTGGCCACGAAACCTGTGAGGGGCGTGCCGAGATGGGCGCGGGACGCATGCGGACGCAGCCACTGAGACCTTCAGTGGAGCTCCCTAGCATGTGGACGCAGCGACTGGGGCATTCGGTGGAGCTCCCCAGAGGGCCACGAACTATGTGAGAGGTGTGCCGAAATGGGGCGGGACATGTGTGGACGCAGCCATTGGGGCCTTCGGCGGAGCTTCGTTTGGGGCCACAAAACGTGTCAGGGGCGCGGAACGCATGTGAGCGCAGCACCTGGGGCCTGCGGTAGAGCTCCCAAAATGGGCCACAATACGTGTGAGGGACGTGCCGAAATAGGTGGCGGGCAAGCATGAGGCCACCCCCACTGGGGCCTTCCGTGGGGCTCCCTAGGGAGCCACGAAACGTGTGAGGGGTGTACCGAAATAAGCGGCTGGGATGCATGCGGGCGACACCACTGAGGCCTTCGGTGGAGCTCCCTGTGGTGGCCACGAAACGTGCGAAGGGTGTGCCGACATGAGCGCCTGGGACGCTTGCGGGCGGCTCCACTGGCGCATGCGGTGGGGCCCCCTATGGGGCCGCGAAACGTGTGAGCTGTGTTCCGAAATGGCTGACTGGGACGCACGCGGGCAGCAATACTGGGGCCTTCGGTGGGAGCGCCCCATTGGACCACGACACGCCGTGCTGGGTGGCGCGGGTCGCATGTGGTCGCAGCCACGGGGGCCCGGCCTTCGGTGGAGCTCCATATGGGGCCACGAATCGCCGCATTGGTTGGCGCCGGGCGCATGTGGTCACAGCCACTGGGGCCTTCGGTAGGACGCATGCGGTCACAGCCACTGGGGCCTTCGGTGGAACTCCCTTCAGAACCTCAAAGCGCCTCACTGGGTGGCGTGGGACGCATGCGGGCGGCTCCACTGGGACGTTCAGTGGAGCTCCATTTGGGGCAACGAGACGCCGTACTGGGTGGCGTGGGACGCATGCGGGCGGCGCCACTGGGGCCTTCGGTGGACGTCCTTATGGGGCCACGGAACGCCGTTCTGGGTGGCGTGGGACGCATGCGGGCGGCGCTACGCTTTCGGTGGAGCTCCATGTGGGGCGGGACGCATGCGGGCGGTGCCACTGGGGCCTTCAGTGTAAGGAACCACGAATCGCCGTACTGGGTGGCGCGGGACCCACGCAGAGGGCGCCACGCCTCCAGTGGAAATCCAGATGGGACCATGAAACGCCGTACTGGGTGGCGGGAAACGCTTGCGGGCGCGCCACTGGGGCCTTCGGTGGAGCTCTCTCTGGGGCCACGGAACTCCATACTGGGTGGCGCGGGACGTACCCAGGCGGCGCAACTAACTGGGGCCTTCGATGGAGCTCATTATGGGGCCACAAACGCCGTATTGGGTGGCGTGGAACGCGTGCGGGCGGCGCCACTGGGGCCTTCGGTGAAGCTCCATATGAAGCCACGAAACTCCATACTGGGTGGCGGGGGACACATGCGGGCGGCGCCACTGGGACCTTCGGTGACCTCCATATGGGGCAACGAAACGCCGTACTGGGTGCCGTGGGACGAATGCGGGCGGCGCCACTGGGGCCTTCGGCGGAGCTCCACACGGAGCCACGAAACGCCGTACCGGGTGTCGTGGGACGCATGCGGGAAGCGCTGCTGGGGCCTTCGGCGGAGCTCCATATGGAGCCACGCAACGCCGTACTGGGTGGCGTGGGACGCATGCGGTCGCAGCCACTGAGTCCTTCGGTGGAGGTCCAGATGGAGCCACGAAACGCCGTATTGGGTGGCGAGGGACGCATGCGGGCGGCTCCACTGGGGCCTTCGGTGGACGTCTATATGGGGCCACGGAACGCCGTTTTGTGGGGCGCATGCGGGCGGCACCACTGGCGCCTTCGGCGGAGCTCCAGGGTTGCGCGGGACACACATGGTCGCAGCCACGGGGGCCTTCAGTGGAGCTCCATATGGGGCCACGAAACGCCGTACTGGGTGTCACGGCACGCATGCGGGCGGCGCCACTAGGGCATTCGACGGAGCTCCATATGGAGCCACGTATCGCCGTACTGGGTGGAGTGGGACACATGCGGGCGGCGACACGCCTTCGGTGGAGTTCCGTGGCCACGAAACGCCACACTGGGTGGCGCGGGACGCATGCGGGTGGCGCCACTGGGGCCTTCAGTGGAGCTCCAAATGGGGTCACGAAACGCCATTCTGGGTGGCGGGGGACGCATGCGGGCGGCGCCACTGGGGCCTTCGGTGGAGCTCCAGATGGGGCCACGAAACGCCGTACTGGGTGGCGTGGGGCGCATGCGGGCGGCGCCACTGGGGCCTTCGGTGGAGCTCTCAATGGGGCCACGGTCCTCGTGAGGGGTGTGCCAAAATGGTGGAAATGCGGAGAGCAGAGGCAGGGATGGGAGGAGGAGGAGGAAGAGGACGAGGAGGAGGGAGGCAGAAGGAGGAGAGGAGGAGACGCGGGGCCCTATCTCTTCAGAACGAGGACCGAAAACCACAGGATGCTTGGGATCTAATTAGGTGTGGTCGTGGTTGTTCTTTGTTGCGCCCCGCCCAGAATCCTCAAGCAGGCGACCCCGGATCTCCCCCAGCCTGGCGTGCTGCCAGGTGCCCTCGGCCATGCCGCCGCGCCTCGGCTTCGGACCGCCTTTGTGCTCGCCCGGGACGAGTTTCAAGGAGGCGCCGTTCATTCGAACTGCGCCGCGGGGGCGGGTGGTCCACGGGAAAGCACCGGCGGCCTGAGCCAAGATGACCGCGGACCCTCTTCCTTTCCTTGACCCTCCTCGTCTTATTCGTCCTGCTCCTCGTCCTCCCTCCTCATTTTGCTCATCATGCTCCCTCCTCCCTCCTCCCTCCTCTCTCATCCCCCTTCCCTTTTCCTCCTCCTCCCTCCTCCCTCCTCCCTCCTCCCTCCCTCCCTCCTCCCTCCTCCTCCTCCTCCTCCTCCTCCTCCTCCTCCTTCTCCTCCTCCTCCTCCTTCAATGACCGGCGACTTGTTCTGTTTGGGGTCCACGCGCTGGCCCGGTCTACGCACAGTGTGTTCGTCGACGTTTGCCGTTGTGCTGGTCTGCCTCCCTGCTTGCCATTGACCTGCCCGCCTGCTATCCCTCCTCCTTGGCTACCCGCTGCTTTCACTCCTCCTCCTGCCTCTCTGATTCACCGTCCATCTCCCTGTCTTATCATCGTCCATGGCACTCAATCCGACCATTGTCCTCATTGCTGTCCGTATTAGTTTGTTTTGGACGGCGTCATTGCACTGGTGCTGTCCTTGCCTTCGTCCTTGTCCTTGTCCTTGTCTCTGTGCCTGTCCCTGCCCATGTCCTGCTCTATCTTGCTCTCCTTGCTCTCTATCGTTCCCTCTCTCTCTCTCTCTTTCCACCCTCGTCCTCCTTCACCTCGTCAAAATTCCCGCTTCCAGAGGCCATGGGCGGCGCACCCAGTGTTTTCCATGACCAGGGGGAGATGCAGGCGGCCTTTGCAGCTAAGCCTTTCTCTTTCTGTTTTTGTGCATACGTACTTTTGTATGCGTGGGTATGAAGAGGAGGGGTTGAATGAGGAGGGCGGGAAAAGTTGGCGCTCACAGGAAGAGTAGACAGAGCACGGTGGCGGTATGGGCGAGGCGGATGATGATGATGATGATGCTGCTGATGATGCTGATGCTGATGCTGATGCTGATGCTGATGCTGATGCTGATGCTGATGCTGATGCTGATGCTGATGCTGATGCTGATGCTGATGCTGATGCTGATGATGATGATGATGATGATGATGATGATGATGATGATGATGATGATGATGATGATGATGATGACGATGATGACGACAGGGAGGAGGAGGAGGAGGAGGAGGAGGAGGAGGAGGAGGAGGAGGAGGAGGAGGACGTGAGGAAGGGAGGGGGGCGGCGCGGCGACGGCGTCAAGTCGCGCAGCAGGGACGTCGGGGACGTGTGGCAGCGCATTCACAACGAGTGCGGCTACCACACGGCCCAGCAGGCCGCCGTCCCCAGCTGGGACTGGTGGACGTGGCGTTGCCAGAGCTGCGACACTCGAGTCACGGGCCACAAGCAACCTGGCGCCTGCGGCGTTTGCGGCCAGCCCGTCGACTCCCTCAGAGAACAAGCCATCGTCGATACAGAGGCACAGCGCGTCGGCTGTCCGAGGCTGTTCGCAGATGTGACAGTCTGGTACGCCGTGCCCGGAGACGCGGTGGGCTTGGCCGCGGCCGCCGGCCGCGACGTCGCAGTGGCTGCCGCCGCGGAGGCGGACGAGAGGCAGCGGTACCCCGAGGGCCGGTGCCCTTGGCTGGTGCTTCCTTTGGCCCTCGAGACAGGAGGGCGCTGCGGCAGGGCCGCCTTGCGCCACCTCCGGCAGCTGGCGCGCAACCAAGCGCAGCTTGTCGACGAGGACAGGGCCGGGGCGGTGTGCGGCGCTCGTGGCTCTGCGCAAGGCAACGGCCCGGCAGCTCCGCAGCGCAGGCAGCCGCGAGGACGCGGCGGCTCTGCGCGAGGCACAGGCCGCTTGAGCCCGCGATGTGAAATGAATTGTTGTGCGGGACCCACTGACTGACTCACCCCTCCCCCTGCTACTACGTGCTGGCCCGCCTCTATCCCTTCCCTTTGTGGTGCCCGGGAAAGGAGGGATAATGATGATGCTGATGATGCTGATGATGACGATGATGGTGATGATGACGAGCGGGGGGGACATAATGATGAGGCTGATGATTATGATGATGTTGGTGTTGGTGCTGCTGCTGCTGATTGTGATGATGCTGGTAATGGGGTTGATACGGCTACAACACGCAAATGATGACGATTCTAACGATGATGATGATGATGTTGCTGATGATGATGGCGACGGCGATGAGGATGATGTTGATGCTGATTATGACGACGATGCTGATGAGGATGAGGATGCTGCTGGTGATGATGCGACGACGGCGACAATGATGGTGATGATGGTACTGCTGATGTTGGTGACGGTGCTAACGACGATGACGATGCTGATCATGATGATGATGCTGACGATCATGCAGGTGATGGTGATGCTGATTATGCGGCCATTTATTGCACATGATAACGATGCTGATATGTTGATGCTTGTGATGCTGAAGATGATGATGTTGATGCTGATGATGCTGATGGCGCTGCTGATGATGATGGCAATGCCGATACCGGCGGTGATGATGATGATGCCGATGATGGTGATGCTGACTTCTCATGACGATGATGACTATGATGATGATGATGACGATGTTGCTGCTGATGATGATGATGCTGGCGATGATGGGGGTGATGCTGATTATGTTTCTGCTTCTGATGATGATGACGAAAAATGTGCTGATGTTGATAATGAAGATGATAATGGTGGTGCTGATGTTGATGACTAGGACGACGGTTATTCTGATTATGACGAAACCGGTGATGATGATGATAATGAGTATGATGATGGTTCTCATGATCATGGTGATGGTGATGCGCATGGTGGTGTTAATGCTTTTGTTGAACATGCCAATGATGATGATGAAAATGATGATGCTGATGCTGATCCTGATCACGTTGGTTGTGATGATGATGGTGGGGATTCATGATGCTGGTGATGATGACGATGAAGACGATGACGATGATGGTGATGGTAATGATGGCGGGGGATCTTCCCAGGCCAGAATGTTCCATATTTGCTCAGAACGGCGGAGGGCAGCCTCGAGAGTGCACAGCCAGCAAGAGAAGCACTGACTCGGTACCACACGCGAGTCTCCACACATGGCTACAACCGAACAACGTCATCGAGTAAAAACCTTGTTCTATCGGGCGGCACGGGACAGCTGCCGCGCGGCAGCAACTATCATGTCCGCGCCTGCGGTGGCTACTTCAAGGGGTAGACCGGTGGTCGAGGCTCGAGCAACGGCACCCACCGCAGGACGACCGAGGCCCCCCAAGTGACGGCGGCCAGCGCGGCCACACAGGCCTGGGGTGCAGAGGCAGCGACGCGAGAGGCAGTCGAGGCCCCGAACGCCCCAACCGACCATGAACATCCTCTGCCTAACGCGGCCTGTAAACACGCAGCAGTCGAGAGAGCAGGAGGAGGAGGAAACGAGAAGGGAAAGGAGGAGGTGTCTCCAGATCAGGCTAGCTTCAGGGTGCACAAAAATCACGGGGGCCCCGCGACAAATTCATTCCGATATCAACCTAAAGGTGGCGGCGGTAAGCGCGTTGGCAACTCGGATGGCACGTCTATCAGGCTCAGAGATTCCCGTTCCCTCCAGAGGGGCACCCAGTCGGCGCAAGCGGGCCGCTCCTGAACTCCAGGTCGCAGCCAGGACGGAGGCCCATAGGCCGAGGACCGCCGACGAGCGCACCCAGCCCAGCAACACGCCCAGTAGACGCGGGTCGCCAGCGCCCCCCAAGCGATGGCGAGCAAGGTTGATAGCAACAGATCCAAGCCCACGATGTTCGCAAACTCGACGAGTACGATTCGGCGTGCAGATGCACAAAGTCACATGATAAGGCATGACAGACGCGCGTGATCGGGCCTGCCGCCAGAGCCTTCTCAAACGAAGCTCCACTGGTCGGTCAGCGCGGGCGCCGACCTCACCACTGGCGGCGCGGACGCAGGGGGAAGCGGCGGCAGCTGCAACGAGAAGATGCCCGTCCGCGCCTTCTCCCCCATCAGTTGCAAGAAGTTCGCCTCGACCCGGCCCCCGAACTCCAGAGCTACCGCGAGCTGCCCCGGACGCTGCTGCATCCGAGCTCGCTTGGCGCATCGGTTCAACGACTGGTCCGTCTTCCAGCGGCCGCGGTCCTTGACCTCCTTCCGCGTCCGACGACGCCCCGACAGAAGGTCGTCTGACGCTCCCCCGCGGCGCAGGGAGCACAGCGACGTCTGCTCGCCGTCGAGCTGGAGCATCGCCTGGGCAGCCTTGAAGGCCCGGCGGTCCTGCTAGGGCGAGAAGCTCCACAGGCTCGCCTCGGGTCGTCGCGCCCGACGAAGGGGGTCGAGCAGCGGCCACAGCGACGGGTCGTCGACGATCACGCTCTCGTCCGTGACCCCCGTCTTGCCAGGCCCCCCGCTCGCGGCGTCGTTCACCAGGATGGCCCAGCGCTGGTGGCCCTCCTTCGACCCGAGCCGCGGAGCGATCAGCGAGGCGGCGGCGAGGCGGCAGGCCTCGCTCGGGCGGAGGCACGCGTCGAACGCGAGCCTTACGAAGGTCGCCTCCGCGAGGCGGCCCTGGGCCAGGAGGGCGCCCACTATCGCGAACATGGGCACGCGCGGGGGCGGCAGGCGCATCTGAGGCGGGACGAGCTTCGCCCACCCCTGAGGCGCCCGAAAGGCCCGCGGCAGCGGCCTGCCCCCGATCAGCAGGGCGGGGAGGGGAGGCGGTGCGTCAGCGCGGCCGGCGTGGCGCGGCCCGTCGCGCAGTCGCATCCGCCCAGGAACAGGTGGACGAAGTACACGACCAGGACGGAGTCGAGCTTGGCGCTGCTCGCGAAGCCCCTCGCGGCCCAAAGGCAGCAGCTCAGAAACTTCTGGGCGCAGGCGCGGTAGTTCCTGCCTGTGGAAGCCGAGACCGCTGACAGCTCCAGCACCGACAGGCTCCCGCGCGAGAGGCTGGAGGGCCCAGGGTGGGGGGTGGGCCGTCCGAGCCCTCGCGGCCTTGACCGCCTCCCTTGGGCTGCCGCGGTCGCCGCGACACCTGCTCCGAGAGGTAGTCCTCGAAGCCCAGGCCGACGGAGAAGCCCTCTCTCGACGGCCTGTCGGCGACATTCCGTTCACGCACAAGCCACGTGCGAGAGCGCTGCCAGAGAGGCGCCTCGGAGCGCGCACGAGGCGCGGGCTGCCCGAACGCCCCTTGCCGACGGAGAGGGCTAGAGCCAATTTGTCGACGAGGCAAACGACACGATGATGGTGGGCCCCTAAGAGTCCTGGAGGCGCGGTGGACACTGAACCACAGGGCCTCGGCTCCATACTGCAAGATGTCGCAACCTGAACGAGAGCGCCTGCTCGAATGGATGATCCTCCAGCCGTCGAACCCGAAGACAACCTCAGGAATCTCCAGGAACCTCTGACAGGCCTGAGCAGGGCTGCTGGGGTGGACTCGGCAAGCATCAGCATGCGGACAACGATCGGCGACATAACGACGTGAGCCGACGGTCTCGAAGGCATGGGACCCCGCGAGCACACTGGGGCCCTGGCGGAAACTCCACTTCTCGGCGACGCGGCCGACCTCTGAAACAAAGTCGAGGGGGATGTCCTTGATGCACACCCCCTTCCCGCACGGCGACGCATCAGAAGCATAGATCCGCGAAGACCACCTAGACCTGGTGGAGGCACTTCAGAGCGGGATCAGGGCCACCGCAGCCCGCAGCTCCCTGGCCACAGACTCCCGAAGAGGCGCCGGCTGAGCCCCGCCCACGTTGGTGAACCGATACACCGAATTGAAGATGGCCAGGACGCCCCGTCTCAAGCAGAATGGCCTACCAGCACGCGGAGGGCCCCCGCGGAGGCCCGCCCACGTCGCAAGAGACCCAGAACGGCTCGGCGAGTTCGGGCGAGACGATCGGGACGAACACGGATCATGCCAGACAGCCCGTCGATCTGCAGCCCCGCGAAGACCCCCTTGCAGACAGCCTCCGAGAACTCCCAGACAGGTAGACCCCTAGAGGTGAAAAGGTCGGCAGCGGCACGAGCCCGAGAGGTGGCAATCTCTGGGTTCTTTGAGACGACACAGAAGTCGTCAACATATCCTGCACACGTGGCATCAGCGCGATCGGCCAACGGACGCGGGCTGCCTCCATCAACAATCATGTCACGGCCCTCGAAACCACCATCGGATAATGCTCTGACGAGGGCGCTTTGACAGAAGTGCAACGCCCAACTCTACCCCATAGGAACACATTTGACCAAAAGTTGTACGAAATCGTTGATACCGATGGCAACCCCGTAGATAGATTTGAGACCGGTGCGTCCGTTGGAGATCGCCGGCAGCGAGAACAGCGACTCCATCCCTGCAGGCAAGCGGAAAGGATAGAAGGCGCACTGGATGCCCCCCCTGAGCAAACACGCAAATGTCATCGCAGTCGATACTGGCCCACGCGCCGGGCGTGGGGAGCTCGCCGGCTGGGGGCGCATCGAAACTGCAGTTGGCCAAGCTTGTGCCGAACACGAGCCTGAGCATGCGATTGGATTTCTCCACGAAGAATAAGCCTATAGAGTGAGAAGACTGAGGGCTGGCGACCCGCCACGCGATCATGTCGCGGGCCTCCAGCTGCTTCAAAAACTGAGCGTGGGACTTTGGCTGAAAGCACAGCTCGGGGTCCACGCACGGGCGGCCGATGCCCAGCGCGCCCCGCAACTCCGCTGCAACCGACTCGGGATTCAGCATACTCTGCCCCCAACCCTGCAGCACGATGGAATCGGCCTCCGAGACGACGTCGCAGGTGGAGACGGCTTTCGCCGACTGGGGCCAGGCCGCGAGCGTCTAGCTGTAGGGCCGCACCCGACCGCCACCACCAGCGTAGCCAGGTGCCTGAGCGAGCATCTCTACCAGGGATGCTTCGCAGGCGCTGCCCCTCTCTCAACAGGCGACAGGCAGCTCGAACTCGCGGTAGAGGCCCGCAAGATGCTCCACTGAGGCTGTCTGCACAGCGGGCGCTGCAACATCGCCCTGGGTCGCGCAGAGCTCGCCCCTGCCGCAATGGAGCCAGTTGAGAGGGGACAACTCCTCGCTGCGCCACTCTCGCCAGCCCGCGCCCTCGGCAGCTCGAAGACGCGCCGCTCGACCAAGGGGCAGATGGCGGCGCCCATCCACAGGAAGAAAAACGTCGCGCTGGCGATGGGCGCCGCGCCTGGGCGCCTCGAGGCCAGGCGGAAGCGCGAGCGCCTCTGGGTTAAGTTGACCAGGCCCGCGATGCTCGGGAAGAAATTCGCGAGGCCCATCCTGGCCAGCGCCCCGAAGGAGCGCCACGGCGCCCGCAAGGCTCGTCCCTCACGAGCCTTACGTCACCATTTCGCCACCGCGGCTTCCATCTTCATCTGATCAGCGATCCAATCCATCAGCGCGGGGCTGATGCACAGGTTCCCCTTCGTCTCGCCTGCGCCGAGGAAGTGGCCCACCTCGGACGCGAGATCGGCTGGGGAGGCCTCCTTCGCCTGAGCCTTCGCCTTGGCCGCAGGCTGCGCCCTCCTCGACCGCCCCTCGAACGCGCGCCCCTCCGCGAGTCGGAGCTGGCGGGCGAGGTACTCATACGAGGCGAGCTCGCAGATCACCAGCTGGTCGTGGCAGAGGGCGGTCTCTATGACGCGGCAGAGCGTCTCGTGCAGCGCAACGTTCTCGTCGTGCTCGCTGAGCGGCTCATCGCTAGCCAGCGGTTCCGGCAGGCCACGGCACCGCCTGCCATGCGCTGCATGAAGCCGAGGACCCAGAGCAGCGCCCTCGGGCCCTTCACGGGCTGGTCGGCGCACACCGTCCCCGTCTGGAGCTTCACCGCGTCGCTGAAGCTGATGTCACGAAAGCCGCGGTCGTCGAGGACGAGGGCCATCTCGCGGGGATCGCCACCAGCTGCCGCCGCCACGGGAGGGGCGCCGCCGCCGCCAGCGCCAGGGGGGACTGCGACAGCCGCCGCGGGCGCGGGCGCGCCGCCGCCAAGCGCCGCCGCCAGCGCGCCAAGGCCGCCGCCGCCGAGATGTGCTCCTGCGGCAGGCGCCGCGCCGCCGACTGGGGCAGGCAGCGCGGGGGCCGCGGGCCCAACAGCAGCGGCCGCCACGGGCGCGAGCGGGTCGAGCAGCGCGACCGGCCCCGCAGCAAGCCCCAGCGCTCGTGCCGCTGAAGTCGATGCTAAACGGGGAAGCTGCCAGTAGTCCGAAACCTTGAGCTGAAGCGCGCCGCAGCGCGGACCACAGGAAGCTACCGAAACTGGTACAGGTGGTTGGCTGGAATTCCAGGCAAACCCTTCCCTTGGCCACTAAGAATGTGCACGGATCGGATGTCCCGACTCGCAACGCTGCCCTCGGCGTAGTGGTCGCCGTCGGGCGTGAGAATGTAGCCAGGCAGCAGCGTCAGCCGCTCGTGCTAGATGGCGGGACCGCCGATGTTGTATCGCACGAAGTGGAACTGACCTGAAACGGGCCCGGCCACACTGCCTAGCTACGGCGAAAGCTGCGAGCCTGAGCTGCGGCTGCCGACGCCAGGTCGAGGACGGGCTCGGGCTCCTTGAGGCGCAGAAGGCCTGGCGGTCCGCCCGCAGGCACCGAGCGCCGCACCTTGGCTGCCACGCAGCCGCCGCCCAGCGCGCCGAGGCCAAGCGCGACGATCACCGCGCCCGTCACGAAGCCCGTCGACCAGCCAGCGGGCGCGCTCGCCGCGAGCAGGCCCTCGCCGCTGGGCACGGCACTCCAGCGCAGGGCAGTGGAGCGCAGGAGAGCACACACAATCACAACCGGGGCACGGGACCGAACTCCCGCGGACGATGATGGCAGTGGTAAGGGCACTGGCGAAATCCTGCGAGAGGCGTTCGAACAGGGCCTGCATTCCCTCAAGAACTTGAGCACAGGGATACGGTCACACATGTACCACAAATGCCGACAAGTCGGGGTATGATGATGACGAGCATGATGATGCTGGTACTTCTGATGATGGTGCTGATGCTGATGCTGCAGCGGATGATGATCATGATGCTGATGATGAGGATGATTATACTGATGATTGTTATGATGATGATGCTTACGATGATGATGATGATGATGATGATGATGATGATGATGATGATGATGATGATGATGATGATGATGATGATGATGATGATGGTGATGATGATGATGATGATGATAATGACGACGACGATGATGATGCTGATGATGCTGAAGATGGTGATGGTGGTGGTGGTGATGATGATGATGATGATGATGGATGATGATGTGATGATGTGATGTGATGATGATGATGATGATGATGATGATGATGATGATGTGGTGATGGTGATGATGATGATGATGATGATGATGATGATGATGATGATGATGATGATGATGATGATGATGATGATGATGATGATGATGATGGATGGTGGTGGTGGTGGTGGTGGTGGTGGTGGTGCTGCTGCATATGATGCTGCTGATGATGATGTTGATGATGATGAGGAGGAGGTGATGATGAGGAGGAGGAAAGAGGAGGAGGGGGAGGAGGAGAAGGAGGTTGATGAGGAGAAGGACGAGAAAGAGGAAGAGGAGGGGCTAGGCCACGTGCGAGGAGGATGAGGAGGAGGAAGAGGATGCTAATGAGATGGAGGAGGAGGAAGAGGAGGAAGAGGAGGAGAAGGAGGAGGAGGATACCATGGAGGAGGGGTAGGAGGATTGGACGAGAAATAGACGGGTCATGAGCAGATAGAGCAAGTAGGCGTGACAAGGGACAGGGAAGGGCGAAGGGCGGAAGGCGGGGATCATGGACAGGGTGCACAGAGCCGACACGGAAGAGGAAGTGCAGAAGGAGACGGAGGAAGAGGAGAAAACAGAGGAGGAAAAGGATGAGGAGGAGGCGGAGAACGGAAGAGGAGGAGGTGAAGGTAGAAATCAGGTTCCCAGACGAGTTTCACAGGATTTCGGGAACATCCGATCCCGTAACCAATTTTCAGTGCTTGAGCTTTCTGTACGCGGTTCCCATATCGAACAGTAGTCTGATTTGGCTCGCGATCGATCCCTCGGCCCTTGCGCCCCGAGGAGAAGCTTGGAATCTCTTCCTTCATTATACCTGGAAATCGATTTGGATATCCTCTTAGGGTTGCCGAGGTATCTTTGGGTTTCTTCGACGAAAACGGTAATATTTTGGTGGTGCGGAGCTTGGCTGAAGTGTTCCTGATTCGAGCTTGCGTCATCGAGCACGGGCGAAAACTGGGGCAACCAGAGGATCCCTACGTGAGATAGCAGAGCGGAGACCCTACATGAGTACCAGGCGGAAGTGGAACTATTGACATTAAGAACGAGGGGGGACGACAGGAAGATGCTGGGTCCGCATCTGGTGTAAGCGTTGCCCAAGACCGCCGCGCAGAGGAAACTGGCCCTGCGATTACCACGCGTGGAGGACAAGCCGTACGCGCGTCGGAGAGAAGGGCCCTGATAATTTGGTGAAGGCTGTCCAGAAGAAATTTGGCAACCATGCCTCGAGCGATGTAGCGGACATCGCTACTCCTAGTGCGACCGCAACGCCTGCGGCCCCGTGTGCGAAACTTGGGACAGACAATCTGCCTCTACGCGGAGCACGAGGAGAACGCCTACCAGGAGATTGAAAAGAGAGTTCGGACGATTTGCCAAGAGTTGGACTCTCTTGGCCTGGACCCAGACAAGCTGCGAGGCATCATCCCCCTCGTGAGCGCGATTCTGGACTCGAGTGAGAGAGCCACGGTGGCGGCAATTCTGAGAAGCAGACGTATGTGTGGTCCGACAAGGACCTGACGGCCAAAGACAGCCTTGTGTCAAGAAGAAGAAGGGATATGAGGTTTCAGAACCATCGGGAAGCTCGCAGGAATCGCTCCAAGGTGAATTACCAGGGACGACGAGGAAGGGCCATTGTGCTTCGAGAAGGAGCAACGCACTTAGCAGGGCGATGGCGACGCCAACTACGAGGATGACGTCACGAAAGAAGAGCTCGAAGCGGTGGAAGCCTACGCCGTGGCTGCAGAGGTCTTCGCCCAGGACGTACGCCGCGCGTTCACGGAGACGGAAGACATCTTGGCAGAGGCGGCGAAGAGCAGAAGCGGCAACTTCCGGGTGATCGGCGTTGGGCACTTGCCAGACAAGCAGGTCAAGGACAAGAAGGCGGTGGCCATGGCGAAGTTGACTTTGCGGCCTCCCATCCTAGACCATGGGGCCTCGAAGTGGAGAGCGTCGCTTCCTGGCACATGCTAAATCTGCTGCAGACGGTCGGCGCCCAGGCACGGGCAAGGGCGAAGGGATCAAGTGCCTGATCTGCCGAGGACAGCGTCGAGCAATGGATTGCACCAAGATGGGTCACACCGGCAGCGACGGCAACAGCAGGGAAATGCCGAAACAAGGGTTCGTGGATGCGACCGAGGCCGATGAGACCAGCTACAGTAACGAGGTTGTTTTACCTGATGAAGGACAGGCCGCATGGATTCATGAGAAGATGGTCGGCTATGCGATCATCGACACGAGAGCCTCGAGCATAATGATCTGAATGTATGTAGCCGTGGCTATTCAGGACGTGATCATCGTTGACACAAGCGAGAACCAGGTCGAAGGATGAACCAAGTTTACGTGCGCGGGTTGCGAGAAGGGCATGTCGATGGGGAAATTCGGGTTCAAGCATCCGGTGGCCTTTGTCCAGGGCAGTAGCAAGCTGTGGTTTGACCTAATCGAGGCGAGGTCACCCATGCTCCTTGGCCTGGACTACCTGGAGGAGGCTGGAGCTGACCTCGCAAGGGATAAGTCGGCGTTGCTCGGTGCGGACGGGCGCGAGGGGCCAGTGGCGCAGATGCCGAGCCCCCGCCGTGCGCTTCCTGTGCTGTGAAGGTGCCCAGCCAGACGCCCAAACAACGCCTTCGAATTGGAAACAGCAGAACGTAGTCTTTCCGCCATCGCTGCCGAAAGGCGTTCAGTCACAAGGTAATTCCCTGAATCGGAGAAGCAGGAAATCACGCAAACCACACTAAGGAGCTTAAGAATCGTTGGGATTCTCCGAAGAATCTCAGACGTCAGATGATGGAAGAATGCAGAGAACATGGAGAACAAGAGGGCGCCTGTGAGACGTGTTCACGGCGGCGGGTACAACGTCCACCACACGAACGAGATTGACTATGTCAGGACCATCAGCGACCACATGCACAACACCAAATAGCGTCCGATATAAGCAATGTCATAAACATCTGCTGCCACAGGTACAAGGTAGAGCATGCCCGAACTGCGGCCACCCTGTGATCCACGTGAGGTGTGTGTGTGTGTATCTGGTAATGCCCATGTGTGCGGAATGGTTTCTGAAGAGAGCAAGGGCCAACGTCCGACGGCCTGCCAGAGCCTTTTGCATCAAGAACGCCCTCCGACAGGAGTCTGTGACACTAGGTGGCCATGGGGGCCACCGGAGATCGGAATCTCCGGTGGGGATGCGATGCGATGCGATGCGACCACCGTTGCGGACAGCGTCCGGGCCTAGAGCAGACCAGGTGGGTGAGGCCATGGCCTCTCGGATCTGAGGTGTCTGGATATATGCAGTGCGAGACATGTAAAAATGTAGGAGGAAAGGGGGAGGAGGAGGAAAAGAAAGTCCTTGGTGTCGGTGACGGCGCGGGTCGGGCGAGACGTCTCGACGTTCGCTGAGATTTTACGTCATTGGTCTGAGTCCCCGGTGCTGGTCGACGTGAGGTCGGTGAAGTGGTGCTCGAATCCTGTCCATGCTTCGGTGTCGTGGGCTATTTGCGTCCATGCGATGTCGTTCGGTTGTCCTTTCGAATGGGCTTGCGTGGGCGGTCGGTGGAGGTCTGGTCTGCGTTGACGTAAGTCTGCGGTGACTTCGTCGTCCCAACGCCTGTTTTGCCCACCGTGCTGCCTGTGTCCCCGCTGGCGCGAGTCGAGGATCGGGTGCCAGCGCAGCACTCGCAATGTCCACCTCGTCCGGTTTGGTTTGCGACTCGCGAAGCCATGCGCCATACTTTCCGTTTGCGCAGCGTCTCCCAATTTTCAATGTGGTGGAGCTTCATGAGGTGCTCTGCGCGTCGTGTCGCTCGCTGGATGTAGTCGACCCATGTTTCCATTTCGCATGCGGTGGTGCTGTCTTCGCCGTCTTCGCTGCGCTTGTCATGCGTGTCTGGTGCATCACACTGTGATGGGTTGCTATCTGCGTCGTCGCTAGTGCTGTTGGTGC